TTGGAAGTATGGTACCCATATTAACACTTAACCCTCACAAAAACCCTGGAGAATTCGTACTATTATTAACACCACCACCACCCACCTTGCACAGGTGAGGAAACTGAGGCACAGAATGGAAAAGAAACTTGCCCAATCATTCACCTAGTGAGTGGAGCTGGAACTCATACTCAGACATCCTGGCTGCAGGCTCTGTGCTTGCAACTACTTTGCTAAACTGCTTCCCACCATAGGCACTCTAGCCTGCTAACACCTCTGAGAGCAGATGGGCCTCCAGACCTAGTTTGTGTTGGGCTCTCCTGTTTCCCCATTCTTCCTTTCTTACCTCCACTGACTTCCTCTTCCTGCTGTTACCACCAGGAGCTGAACAAGTACCGGGCCAAGTGCAGCATGCTGTTCCACTATGACTGGATCAGCATCCCCCTCGTCTACACCCAGGTAACTGCTTCTCACCTCTCCAGTCCCAGTACCTCCTGGATACGCTGAGTTATGTGACACTGAGAACTAGAGATGGTACCTGCTTTGGGGCAGTTTTGTCCAGTGAGACACTGAACAGACAAGGGCTCATCCTCAAAGCCTCCCTGGACCCCTACTAAGATGATCGCATCCCCTTGGGTGCTGTCATACCCTGCTACATATTTGAATTACTTGTCAGACTCCTCTGCCTGCCCTCAGGGGCAGGGGCAGCATTTCTTCCTGTCCCACTCAGCGGGGTTTTTCCTTCTCCAGGTGGTGACCATAGCAGTATACTCCTTCTTTGCCCTCTCCCTGGTTGGTCGCCAGTTTGTGGAGCCAGGGGCAGGGGCTGTCAAACCTCGGGAGCCCCTGGAAGCAGCCCAGGAGCTAGCGCCAGCCGTGGGGGACCTGGATATGTATGTGCCTCTCACCACACTGCTGCAGTTCTTCTTCTATGCTGGCTGGCTCAAGGTGGGCACTTCAGGTGGTTATGCCAATCTGCTCTATGGAGACGTGGGCCCAGGGCCCACCCTGACTTCAGGGATGGAGAACGGAACTCTGAGCCTAGAAAAACACTGTCCTACAACCTGCAGGTGGCCGAACAGATTATCAACCCCTTTGGTGAGGATGATGACGACTTTGAGACTAACCAGCTCATAGACCGGAACTTGCAGGTGAGATAGGGGTCTGGGGGCAGCTCCCCATCCTGCCAGCTCTCAGCTCTGGCGTGGAGAGGAGAGGGGAGCACAGGAGGATCCTTGTGACTTGCTGCCCACCTCAGGTGTCCTTGCTGTCTGTGGATGACATGTACCAGAACCTGCCTCCAGCCGAGAAGGACCCGTACTGGGACGAAGACTCGGCGCTGCCGCCCTACACAGTGGCCACGGCCGCCGAGTCTCTGCGGCCTTCCTTTCTGGGGTCCACCTTCAACCTCCGGTGAGAGACTGGCGGGGGCATAGTTGGGGCTTGAACTTGTACAAGGGCCCCAGGTACCCGCCTACCCTCTGAGGCGCCAATGACTCGGTCCCTCCTGCTCCTGTTCCCCTTGGCTGCCAGTGCCCGAGTGGGGCCCCGCGGGGCGCTCACTCAGCTCGCCCTCCCGCCCGCAGCGTGAGCGACAACCCTGAGCAGAACCTGCAGGTGGAGGCATCCCCCGGTCTGGCTCGGTCGGTACCTGCAGCGCAGACCCCGCTGCTCGGCCGCTTTCTGGCCGCAGGAGCGCCCTCCCCAGCTATCAGCCTGCGAACCTTCGGCCGCTCACGAGGACCTCCCCGGACCCCCCATCTACTGCGCTTCCGAGCCGGGGAGGGCGGCGACCCTGAGGTTGCGGACCGCATCGAGGAGGCGGCGGCGGGGTCAGCAGACGAGGCCCAGGAACCCTGAGCAGAGGCGGCCGGGGCCGGGCCGCCCTGCCTCCCCACCCCCTGGGCCTGCCCTCCGGCGCTGTTGGAGCAGCAAGTCCGTCCGGTGGACCCTGAGCCAGAGTATTTACGGGCGGACCCTGGAAGAGGGAGACGGCCGGTCGAGCCAGGGCTGGGAATGTGTACGCTCTGGCGGGATAAGACAGGGTGAATTGCTTGGGGAAGTAAAGTTAGGGTACATGGCATGAGGCATAGAAGACTAGATAGGGCCCAGATGCACCGTTAATCGCCTAAGCAATGGGCGGTTTAGACCAGTTCTCAAGATTGAGGGAGAGGAATCCCCGAAGGGCTCGTTAAGACATCCGGGAACCACTTCTGGAGTTTCTGACTCATTAGATATGGAATGCGGCTCCATGATTTGCATTTCTAGTTCTCAGGTGATCCCTGCCTTGTTGGTCAGGGGTTACAATTTGAGTACACATAAAAAGATGTTTTAGAAGGTTGTACCCTGTCCTGATAACCTTACTCTGAAGAGGGATCAAAGCGTGTACTGGAGTAGGGGGCTTTTATCTGTAATGTCCAATTTTTTTATTACAATGAGTATATTACTACTTGTGCAATACAATTGTTTAGAAGTAAAATAGATTTGGTATGCTGTGCACAGTCTACACCACCCAGCCTAGACCCTCAGCATTTGGACTTTAGAATACCAAGCCTTCCACTACCACCAGTCAAACTGGGGAGAAAACAATTTAAGGGGTGAAAGCTGTGAGTCCATCTTCATGATGGGTCTGCACTGCTACAGGGGACCCCGAGTACTATGTTGGAGATGTTGCTAAACAGAGCCTCCTCCAAGAGTCCTGCCTTCAAAGCTCAGCTCCAGAGGAAACTGGTGAATGCCAAGACTGAATGTTAAGGTCAAAGGATGACAAAATACCAGAACTCAGAAGCCATGGTATATTAGCATACTGGTACACTGCCCTGCACTTTTCCAGGTAATGGATTCACAGTAGGAAACCTCATACCCCTGGAGTTATATGCCAAACAAGACAAGAACAAAGATAACAAAATGAGCAAAATTTATACCAGACTAAGGGATATGGAGAAAAAACAGGGACAAAGGATACAGCATAGATTACAATGTAAAATTGTGATCAGGGCGTACCTTATTAGAGTGACAAAGCCCTGGATAGAGTAAGCCAAGTGGTATTTCAAAAACTGTGTTCCCAACAAGGGAATACCTATGTTCACTAAGACCAGAATGGAAGTCACTATAGAAAAAGGGATGAGGTCACCTTGAGCTCTTAGCCTTTGGTAAGGACTGAGATGGGAGGATGTCTTGTTAAAAAGCTGGATCTTTCAAAATGATCACTGATTGCTGGGATTTCATTACAATTAAAAGAGGTAGCACCAAGCAAATAAGGATGTAAAAAAGTAACTAGAATGGCGAGGTGGTGTTAAAGGTTGAACCAGCAAGATTTAGTTGCAATTAGATGTTGGGAGTGCTAAGAATAAGGGTCAGGATGGCCCAAGATTTTTATTTAAGTATGAAGACAACTATTTGCTATTAAGTAGTTGAGAAACTGAAAAGACATTGCTGAGGAATATGAGTTTTTAATATACTGACATTTTATTAGAGTCCAATTATGATATCCAAGTACAAGTGTCAAGTAGGTCTGGGTTAAAGTTAGATGGAGCATAAAACACATTTAAATGCTGAGGACAGACAACAATGTAGCCAAGTTGAAGGCAAAGACCCTTTGAGATTGTTATCTAAATGGGATTGTAATTCAGTGAGACTGAATCTGCAATGCAGAAATCACTGGTAATCTTACATGCTTTCGAATACTAAGTAGGGAAGGGATTGGGATTCAAGAGAAAATTAACTTCAGGGAGACATCCAAAAACTGACAGGTTTAAGTTTGTTCAACCTTCTCTCAACAATGCAAAAAAAATGTGGAACACAATTTTAAGATTTCTAGACCACCCATGAATCCAGGTTGAAAACTTTGAATTAAACCCTTAAAGTCAAGGTCCACACAGTAATATGGTACAAGATCCAACTTTGCAGAAGTATAGCTTCAGGTTCTAATCACAGCTCAGCCATACCCTAATATTGTTGGGAACCCCAGGGCAGGGACACCTCCCTCATAAAATCACTGTGCTTGGCCTGCATGCCACATCCCTGACTCCCACTTAAAACCAGCGTGCACCATGTTCCCCCTACTATAGATGGCACAGCCCACGATAGGCCTTGGCCTTTAGGGGAGGGAGGAGCTGGAGACACAAGGGCACCCTACAGTGTGCCCAGCAATCGAATATTTAAGACGTGAACACAGGACATAGAACAACAGACCCTTTATTACATGAACTAGGACAGGAAGAGAACTTATTTGCCTTTTCGGGCCTTGATTTTCCTCAGATAGAACTCCAGCTCCTTGCCCTCAAGCACGTAGCCGTCTGCTCGGCCACACTGGCCTGGTCGTGAAGCAATGCATGCTGCAAGAGAGTGTGGCACTTAGCAATATGACAATATGGCGTTACCCAAACCTATAAGCCTTGAAAAGTCCATGCTGGTTCAGGTATGAAGCCCACTGTCTCTTCAGATATTATCATCTCGTCACTCAAGAGTCAGTAGCAGAACTGGACAAAGTTTTCATCACTGAGACACAGCCCCCTAAACCTGGGCACGGACTTAACAGACCCCTGAAATGCAGGGGCTGAACTCGGGTCTATTATGTACTGCTTTCCACTGTTTCTCATTTCAGCTTCATACTAGTTTCACTTCAAACACTTCATGCTTGCAGTGTTACCATTAAGCTCTCCTGGTGAACCCTCTAGACCGCACAGCTGGCAGTCAAAAGAACTGAAGCAAGGGAAAAATACAGGGCACACATCCCATCTTGTGACTCTCCCCCGCTGCATGCAACAGCTCTCACCAAGCAGCTTGCCCTGCTGGAACTGCTCCTCCAGAAGACTGCTGATTTTGGCATTCTTTTTCCTTTCATCATATTTCTTCTGAATTTTCTTTGATCTCTTCTTGTTTAAAATCTCTTCCTCCTCAGGAGTCTGAATAAAGGAGATATAAATAGATTAGCTGGGGCTTCCCAAACCCTTCCCCCTTCCAACTCAGGGAAGGATGCCACCACAGCCCCAAACCCTGCACATGCCAATCCTGCTGCCTTCCTCAGCACTCAAAGGCTTGCATCTCTTCCCCTTCAGTAGCAGAACTGGACATTTTTCATCATTAGAAGGCTGCAATCAGGTTGTCCTCCCCCAACCCCTCCAGGGAAGTCAGCCCCCAAACACGCACCAGTTTGGCACCCTTCTTGCGGCCCAGGGGCAGTGCATAGTGGGACTCGTACCACTGTCGGTACGGTGTGCTGTCAACGAGCACGATGCAGTTCTTCACCAAGGTCTTGGTGCGGACCAGTTCATTGTTGGATGCGTTGTAGACAACATCAATGATCCTTGTTTTGCGTGTACAACCTGCTCAGAGAAAATTCAGAATCAAGCCCTGTAAACGAAGCCAACCAGCCCTGCCCACCCCCCAGCCCTGGGCAGGGGAGCCTAAGGAAAAGCAAGGGAACGCTAAGCCTTTACCCAGCCATGGGGCATCAGCTCCTCTTCCACAAACCCATCTTTCCAGAGGTGGCTGGCAACCAATCTCTAGATTCTGCCTGATCAATCCCTGAGGCTACAGGGGTTAAGAAATAGGACAGGATGGAGAGAACTCTCCAGCTGCAATAACCTCGGGGTCTTTCAAACAAGGATAAACTTAAGTATGTTGGTCAAGGCCATGGACTTCCTGCTAAAAGCACTTACTTAAGCTTAGAAAGCTTTAGGTGCCGAGTTCCCACCCCCTCGCGGAGGGCCTCACTCACACTCGGAGCCCCAGGAGAAGTTTCCCACATCCAGCCTCAAGGCCCGGTACTTCTTGTTGCCTCCCCGCACACGGACTGTGTGTATGCGGCGGGGGCCAATCTGGAAAATACAGACAGGAAGTAGGTTATCGAGAGGCAAAGCAAGAGAGGAAAGGAACCTGGGCTGGATGGAGGCAACAGTCAGTGTAACTATGACAAGTCCTAGCATTGGCAAGTGGCATACAGGTGACCGAAACGGTTACAACCACGCCTGAGGATTCTTTTTCATCATTCTAGTTACCTCCAAGAGGAAAAACCTGATTCCAAACACATGAAAATTAAGTCTCCATGCAATAAATACGCCAGGTCTCCGACTATATATTACGTGAGAAGCCCACTCGCTCCAGACGCCCTTCAGAGCCTAGTATACATCATCTGCCTCCATGCAACCCCTTACTATTTACCCAACACTAAAGGTACGGAGGCTGCCCAGTCCCTGAAACAAATTACAGCTCTACAAAGTTTCAACCATCACACGCAGAGGCGCACCAACGCCAGGGAGCCGGGGAAAGCCCTCCGGGGTCGTGGGGCCCCGCAGGCACCTTAGTGTTGGCAGCAGGGCGTCCCAGCTCATACTTCCTCTTCTTGTGGTAGGGCTTTCTCTTGCCCCCGGTCTTGCGGCGCTTGTGCCAGTTGTCCCGAGAAATGCCTGTGAGAGCGGGGGGTGGAAAGTTGGGCCACTACGATTCGGGGCAGACCCCTCTCGCCTGCCCCAGAGCCCACGCCGGGCGGGCCGCACGCTCAGCTCTCCAAGGTTGAAGCCCCCACTGCGCACTCGGGAGTTTACAGCATTAACAAAATGTCATCATACACGTGCGGCTCAGCCTGGACCCTTTTCCGCGGCAGCCATATTGGTGCCGCTGGCAGCACGGAGCCCTTCCCGCTGCCGGCGCTGGCCTCGGCGGCCAAAAACCTGAGCACCACCCTCCTCAGGGTTGCTCGTAGACGGGGGTCGGGGCGCCCACTCTCCTAACTTGGCTGGGAAGCAGGATGGCACCGGATGGCGCTCACCTTCCTCTCCCGGCCCTGACGCAGACAACACTCACCCATTGCCCGGCGCTGGCTGGAAAGAGAAAACGCAGAGCCTCACGGTCCAGTTTCTAAAACGCTGCCCCGCCCTCTTACGTGTTTTTCGGGCGCCGCGGCCAGAAGCCTGGAGTCGAACGCGTCGTTCCTTACGTTCCTGCGCCCGCGCCATGGCGGACGGTGGCCTGTGGGCTCTGAAGCCCGGGGGTGGAGGAGGGGCCGCACGGGGTCCGTGGCTGTGAGAGCTTTCTGTAGAGGTTGAGGATTTTAGGGCGGGAGTGGCCTGGATTTATTTACATTTTGAGCAGACCCGTTTTCGAAGCTGTTACAGTAGTCCGGGACGAGGCATGTGCGTGCGGGTGCGTTGGAAAAGGGTGGAAGGCAGTAGAGATGGAAACGAACGGTGGATTTGCGTTTTGTTTTGAAGGGTTTGGGGAGCGATAGGACGTGGGGGTTGAGGGATAGGGAAATATGTCAGGGATTCCTAACCTCACCATTGATTAATTGCGTGAATATTGGTGCCGTTTACTGAATGGGGTAGGTTAAGGTAGGAGCTGTTTTGGACATACTCTTTTGAGATTTTGGTGATGTGTAAGTGGTCTGGTCATCCCTGTAAAAGAGATGTGGACAGATGTTACTTTGGGACTTGTTGGTATACGAATCATAAAGTCACCAATATGAACGTTAGGGAGAGAGCATACAGCAACCTTTTCTTGTAAAAGGTAAGTACTCTAGGTTCTGTGGGCTATGGAGTCTGTCAGTTACTCAACTTTGCTGTTGTAGTGTGAAAGCAAATGAATGGGTGTGGCTGTGTTCCAGTAAAACTGTGGGTACTGGGATTCGCCTGTCATGAAATACTACGCTTTTGATTTTCTTCCCCAAACATTTAAAAACAAAAAACATTCTTAGCTGATGGGCCCAGTCCACATACAGTGGTGTGCCAAACCCAGGCATAAAGAATACAAGAAGATGGTCTCAATTCAAAACTTGAGGAATGCCCACATGTGAGGCCAGGTGGAGAAAAGAAGCTGGGAAAGGAGACGACAGAAGGCGCAATTAGAGTGAGACGGGGGAAGCTGGCACAGGATGGGGTGGTGTCTAATACTTCCCTGAAGGCTAGTTAAAATGAGGATTACAAAGTAATTATCGGATTTAGTAACCTGGAAATCTTTGGTGACATTGGCAAGGGCAGTTTCTGTGTAGGGGAGTAGGCAAAGACTTAATTAGTTTTTTCAAAAACTTGAAACAGAATAGGAAGTAAAAAAAACTCCAACTATATGTAGACAATTCTTTTGAGACGTATGACTTAAAGGGGAGGAGAGAGCTAGCTGGTGGCTGGAGGGGAAGCAGAGCAGAAGGGCAGTATTTAAAGGAGCAAACCACCTAATGAATCAGCCATTTTGCACTCAGCTTCAGATCCTATCCCATCCTTGGAAGAGATTCTCTCAATATTAGCCATTTTTTATCCGTATCTTCAAGCTTCAACTGGCTTCTCAGCACATTCAGAATAAAATCTAAATTTCTTACCATGGCCTGGGAGACCCAGGAATATCTGGTCTCTGCTTATCTCTGACTTTAACAGTTTGATCAAATATCTCTAACCTGCCCTCCTCATTCCAGGCACTCTGACCTTGCCATTCCTACCGCAGGCCTTCATGCTCTGACAAAAAATGCTCTTCTCCTAGGTCATGGCTCCCCCCCTACTTCAAGCCTCTGCTCAAAACCTCACCTACACACTGGCCTTTTATGAGCTTGCTCTTTATAGTAGCACACTCTTCTCTTTCTCTATCCACTTAATATTAACATTGTTTTTACGTGCTCATTATGTCTTCCCCACTAAATTATAATAAGCATGAGAGTAGAAACTTTGTGTTGTTCATTACTATATTTCCAACAGCTAGAATAATGCTTGGCTTAGTAAGCGCTCAATATTTAAATATTTGTATTGAATACTGAAATATTTGAGCCACTTACTGTTACACTTACCACATAGTATGCAATGGCTTTTCCCAAGTAGACTGTAAGATCTTAAAGAGTACAGTGTAGTACCTTACTCATCACTCTATCCCTAGCCTTTTGGCACCAAAAAAGGAAAAGGCAGTTGCATTGGACACAAAAAGGAGAAAATGGATTCAAGGAGCACTTGTTAGTTGATGGAATTTTGTGATACTGTATTGTGGGGGTGAGAGAAGAGTGACATGAGGTTCTTCCCTGATAAACCACATTAAATGATGGGTTGACATCAATAGATAACACAGGAGGTTTCTAAAAAGTTCAATTTCAGGTTGAGTTTGAATTGCCACTAGGACTATAGGTGGCTATTCTTTGTATTGTAAGTAGTTAGAAAGATGAGTCTTAAGTTTGAAAGAGAATGGAACTGATATTTCCCACCCCCACCCACCATGGTCTCTATCCACTTAAGCCAGTCTGTATCACATGAACATATGTTTATTTATTTATTATTTTTATTTTTTATTAAGGTATCATTGATATACAATTTTATGCTCAGGTTTTACATGAGCAACATTGTGCTTACTGTATTTCCTTCTATTATCAAGTCCCCACCACATGCCCATTAGTCACTGTCCATCAGCACAGTAAGATTCTAGAGTCACTACTTGTCTTCTCTGTGCTGTACTGCCTTCCCCGTGCCCCCTCATATTATGTGCACTAATCATAATACCCCTTAATCCCCTTATCCCTCCCATCACACCCACCCTTCCCAGCCCCTTTCCGTTTGGTAACTGTTAGTCCATTCTTGGGTTTTGTGAGTCTGCTGCTGTTTTATTCCTTCAGTTTTTACTTTGTTACTATACTCCATAGATGAGTGAAATCATTTGGTACTTGTCTTTCTCTACCTGGCTTATTTCACTGAGCATAATACCCTCTAGCTCCATCCATGTTGTTGCAAGTGGTAGGATTTGTTTTCTTATAGCTGAATAACATTCCATTGTATATATGTTTTTTAAATGTGCTTGAATAGTAGTCTCATTATAAATGCATCAATCTCTTGGGGCAATATCAAAGAGGGACCCCTGGAGCTCTTGAAGTCAGTTAGGACAGTGTCCCATATACCACATCATGCCCTCCAAGTCTGTTCTCTTGCTTGAATATAAGTCAAATAGGAGTTCTTTAATTCCATATCATCCTGGAGAAATTGTGTCTCCTGCTTCCGTCCAATACCATATATAGGTTGGCCACCACTCCATTTGTTTTGAGACCATTAACATTAATTGTATTATGCATTTGCCCCATTTTCATTAGTTACTTTAAAAAAATTGTCTCCCAAATTATAGCTATCTTCCACATTCTAATCCTGACATAGGTTATTAGAATCGTATTTGACCTATCTCCCTCCATTCTCCATTTCCTAAAATTTCCTAATGTCCTGTCATGTTTTATGAGAAAAACCCCCTGTATCTTTGCCTCACCTGAAGGCTTCAGCCCCTGCCAAGTTTACTCTGAATTTGGTGAGGCCAAAAAATGACAATGGATATCGATGATACTTAAAAAAATCNAAAAAAAAAAAGACAATAGAACATTGTGGGTAGAGGGTTTATACCCAGCTTTATTTACCTGGTGGCAGGTCAGCTAGGAACCCACCCATCCACCTCAGGACAAGTCTGCATGTAGCAAGCTGGTCTCTGCCTTGGGGCCTTTCTGCAGCCTGGCAGCCCCAGAGCACTGGGCGGAACTCTTTCTACAGTCAGTAATAGCCTGTTGCCCGCACGTTGTAAGCCTATGCCTGCTAGCATTGCATGTGCGCAGTGAGCAAGCATATCAGGGTAAAGTGAGGATCCTGGCTGTGGAATCTCCACTTTCCCTACAACCTTCAATCTCTTTTCAGAATGTTTACTTTGCCTTCTAACAGAAATCTGGTTCTCAGGACTTTCCTTGTCAGCCTTCACGTGGAAGATGACACACTCCTATTCTCTAGATGGGAGACGGGTGGGTTCCATGGTCTGCATTGCCAGTTGCAGACTGTTCGTACTCTATCCTCCCTAAAAAAACACAAAATTTGAACCTTATGCTGAGACCGTAACACTACTTCTCTATACTGCGCATATCTGTAAATTCTCATTCTCACCAACTTGTGCTAGATTTTATGTCCTGACTCACTTGTCACTTTCTCTAATACTATTCCTGTCATAGTATTTGGCTTCCTACACATGATGAACATCCTTACTTCCCACAACCTTAAGCTTTCACCAGCTCCTCACCCTGTAAGTTCTGAAACATGGGTTCAATCCAACCTCTTGGGCCTGACACCTGGGTTACAGAGTGCCTGCATAAGTCACACGGCTGCACAGACTAGTGCCACTAGTAACTAAGAACAAACAATTGGTATTAGGCCTGGAGAATCTTTATGATGACTTATTTAAAGCATAAACTACTGGGTTACTGGAGCATTGAACAAGACAGGGTTGGAATCTTCATGTCAATGAAACTGCAGGTGTGGATTTGGCCTCTTAGATGGAGTACAGAATCAGCACTCCCCAGAGCTCCAGAAGTGTCCTTAGTCACAGAGGCTCAGACCCATCCCAGACCCTGCCCACACACCACCCAAGAGGCTGATTTTTTTTCCTCTTTCTTTATTGTTAGACGTAATGTATAAACATATAAAACAAAACAGCAGGGATCCTCTTGGGCCTTAAAAAACAGCAAGGAAGGAAGAGGTCCCAGAAACTTTTTTTAAAGTACAAAACATGTTAGTGCCCAGACCAAAGGTGTGGAAGGCAGTCCAGAGCCAGCAGTGAGTTGGACTGAAAGCTCCTTCCCTCTCCCCTGAGCCACAACAGCCCCAGGGAGCCCTCCACCAGCAGCCAGTCTGCACAGGCACATGCCACCCAGGAGAGAGTTGTGCCCCAGAGCCTTCCCCTCTTGGGCAGAAGGGTGTCCGCCCAACGTTAACTAAAAGCTCCCTCCTCCCATCCTTGCTCCCTTGAGAGCTACAACAGGAAAAGGAAAGCAGTGTCCTGTGTCATTCTGACCCCTTCCCCAGCTGCCCTGAGTCCAGATGCCCCCACACTTGGCATTTACCAAAGCCTGTCCCAGGTCACACCCTGACTAGATCCATCAGGTGGCCAAAGTTCACTGGGGGGTGGGGGTGGGGAGGGGAAGAGGCTGGGTATGAATCCAAACATCTTTATTTGCAGTCATCACTGGGGCCGCTTCTTGCTGCTTATCTGCTTGCTGGCCTGCTCTTCCAGTTGCATGGCCAGGCGCAGAGCCTGGATGACATCTAGAAGGAAGGGGTGGCGGTGCACTCGGGTTAGTGGGTGTCTCAGAGGCCCCATTCCCTCAGGGCAGAGCTGCCGTCACCTGCAGAGGCCCCCATCCTCCAGCCACACCCACCTCGCAGGGCTGAGAAGTGCTTGGCTTGCTGGGCCAGGGCGGACTCTGCCTTGTTCACAAAGGTCTCCAAGTCATAGTCTGGCTGCTCCGTCATCTCAGAGAGCTCAAGCCAGCCTGACCCTTGCTGCAGTGACACAGGGAAGATGTGTCATTTCAATAATGACCAAACTAATTCAGCAAATCATTCCTGGGGCCCTACCATCTTTGCAGATGCCTGTGCAAGATGCCCCTTCTTCCAGCATGGCCCATATGCTGCCTCTTGATCTTTTCCCACAGATACCCTTAAGCTTGAATCCATCCTCTTCCCTACTCCAAATGTATCCCTCAAATAAATGTCATCATCTGTCTTGATGCCTAAGCCAGAATGTGAGTAGCAACTTTATTCACCCTGCAAATCCCCAAATCCTACCAACTTAAATTCTACTTGAGTAGAATTTATGTCCTCATGTCCTCACTCTAATCCCATGAGCATGGTCACACTTAGGCTAGGCACCAGCATCTCTCTTGGTTTTTACAACAATCTCCTAGCTGCTCTTAACTCCGAAGTACCTCTATTCATGCTCCCCCACACCCCCAAACCAGGCTTTACACTCTGGCCACAAGGATGTACCTAAAGCTCTGCTATGACCATGTTGTATCTGATAAGACCATGCCATCTGATATGACCACACTCTGCTTTCCTCCCTTCAAAGGCATCCACTGTCCCTATAACAAAGGCTTTCATGTGGGCCATAAGGCCCTTCAGTATCAGGTCCCTGCTGACTTGCCCACAGCCTTAATCTCCCTCCATCATCTGCTCAAACCTTTTGCTCTGGCCAGAGTGAACCTCCCTTTCTTCCGAAAATACCATGTCCTCTCAAACATCTGTACACTTGAGCACTCTGGGGAGGAAGGACATGCCTAAGCACAGATCCTTCATGTTCCCCTCTAAGTTCAGAGTGCCACAGGCTCCTCCCCTCTGTTGAGCATTCTGAGCACCACATCTTAGGATGCACTTTCGGGCCTCTGCCCGGCTGCCCTTCCCAGCAACGCTACCACCTACCATTTACTGTACCCTGACCACATGCTGGGCACTGCTGAGTGCTTTAAAAGCATATCACTTAATCCTCAGATGCAACCATTCCGTTTTGCCCATCTTAAAGATAAAAAAACAGAGGCCCAGAGAGGCTAAATGACTTTCACAAGGAAATCAGCTTAAAAATAGAAGAATCAGGATTGATCAAGTCTTATGTTAGGGCGTACTATCTATAATTCCTGTTTCTGGTCCTTGGTCTCTGCACAGGAGCTGTCGTATAGAAAAGTACATGCCAAACATTTGCTCAATAAAGGCGACAATGTCCCTGCATACAAAATCAAAAGCATGGAGGAGAGCCTAGCTCGGCTAGGAAGATGGATGAGAGCTTGCGTGTGCCAGGCTAGAGAAGGGGTATGGGAACTAGCTGCCCTAGACCAGCCAGAGGAACAGGCAGAGGATTAAGGATTGCTAGTGCAGAGGCTGGCTCTTCCCATTTCTACCTGAAGACCAGGTGGGAGCAGAGCCGAGATCATGTTTAAGGAGGGGTACAGAGCGCTGCTGAGGGCCTGTGCTAGGATGGATATCCAGCCCCTTCCTCCCTGGCCTGGGTCAGCTCCCAACCTGTATGATCTCCTTGAGCTCTTCCATGGCCCTTTCCTCCAGCTCCCTGATCTGAGTCATGGCTTCATTAAAGCTGGACATCTGGGAAGACAGTTCCTCCTCTTCCTTGGAGAACTAAAGGAGCCAAAGGAGAGACCCCACAGTATGGCTCAGTTCCCACCTCAGCAGGCTGTGTTTCTGTCTTGATCCCCAACCCCTTACATTGCCTGTGATCAGGGCCCCATTAGAGCTTGCTTCCATTTCTTCTGTTTCCATTTGATTTGGCTGCTCCCCAGTGGGCCCACTGTGGGGGCTCAGCTCCTTGACCCTGAGAAAACAAGAAGGTTTCAGATTGCACGTGAGGCCCCTGCACTCATCAGACTGCAGCACCACTCAGACAGTGAGGCTTCCAGGGGCTAGAGTAGCATCTTTTCCTTTGGCCTAGGGGAAGACCTTCAAGCATGCTGATTCTCCACCAAGACCTGAAGGGGGTTGGGACAGAACTTCTAGCATCATGTCTTGAACTTTAAAGCCTCAGAATCACTGAGTTACAGAAAAGTATGTAAATTAGGCAATGAGGCCCTAGCGCCTCCTCCCCTCTCTTCACTACCATTCCTTCCCTGGCTCCTGAACCCCCCTTCCCACCCCACCTGGATGTAGGCACCAGTACCTGTCTGCATATCTGAGTGTGTTTAAAGTATATTCACAGGAGCTTATGCCTGGTGAGATCATAGCAATCTGCAAAAGAGGGAATGGCAGTTAAAGGTTAAGGATTGTGGGGTGAGACTGCTAGACCACCTGACCGTAAGAGAGGCTGCCAGGAGGATTCTCTCCCTGCTGACACCCACATGGTACTGGAAGAAGAAAGCTCATTAAGTACCCACTCTGTGCCAGAAAGCTTACCCCATAGACACTGTAAATTGAGGCACCTTAAAAATTCGTTTCCTGTTTTTAAAGGCATATCTGATCACCCCCTGCTTCTTTATCTCTTTACTGACCCATTCCTCTCACCAAAGTCACATCTCAAGGCTCTGTGGCACCTGCTAGGACCTTTAGTTCAGCTAGGCTCAGGGATAATGCCTCAGGGAGAAGGGTTTATAGCTTAGCAGAAATCCCCACCTTCCCCAGCAGGCAGTGGTAACACAGTGCCCGGAAGGGAGAGAGGGCAGACCCTAGCTAGGAGGGCTTATGGATAAAATAAGGAAAGGAACAAAATGTCATACACAGCTGAAGCCCTTTCCTATTTTGTAGGCTGGGAGCCAATAAGCCTGAGGGAAGCCAGAGGAGACAAGAAATTCCCTCTCCTGCTTCTGAATTCTGGAACCCTCTTTTCACCAGGTGAGGGAGAAATGACTTCCCGTGAACCAAGAGCTTCCCACAGTAAAGGGAGCAGATCCTTTCCCCCATCTGGTAGGCAAAGGGGAGCCTGGTACTGATAGGCAAGGGAAGCCCACTCATGTCAGAGCCTGGAAACCCAGGTGGCAAGGGTGCCAAGCCTCCCACCTGTGGACAGGACTAAATGTCCTCCTGCACCACCTCCTACTCACCATGCAGGTCCTTGAATTCTCCCCAATAAAGGAGTCTCTCAGCACCTGTGTTAACTTGCTCTCACGGAATGGGGTGTGAGCCTTGTTCTGTCCCAGGGCCCTGATGCACTCCTGTGGGGCAGCAGGATCAACTGAGGTCCCTCCCTCCCTCCACCAGCAGCCTACCGGCCAACCACCTCACATTAGCCCCTGCTACCTTCAGGGCCAGGAGACTCTTGTTGATTTCTGCACCCTCCATGCGGGTCTGCCGGTCAGCACTGGAAGTGTCTGCACCTCGCTCATTCCCTGCCAGATCCACCAAAGAGAACTTGCCATATACTTTTCCTTTGGCTCGGAGAAGGATCTGGAAGCAGGCATGGGAGCGAGAAGAGTTGGAGTTGGCAAATGTCTGTCCAGAGGTCCTGAAGGCAAAGGAGAGCAAAGAAAGGCTATGAACTTCTGAGATCACCAGCCACTGTGGCACCCCAGAGTCCAAGCAGTGAGTTCTCTGGCAAGACAGGATCATAGGTCAGGACTCCAAGTCTTGTGTCTTCTTGACCCTGACTTCTGTGTTTTCCTGGCAGCCAAACTACTGAGTTCTGTACTAGGGCCTTGGCCAGACCTGGGGAAGGATGAGTTGACTCTGCTGCAGGGCACACAGGGAAGGAGGGCTGTCATGAACCACTTACCAAGACCTGAGGGCTCTGCTGAGGCCCCTCCCTGGGCCTCCAAAAGCTACCTAGTACACTCCTGCACTATGCCTGGTGGAAGAGTGCTTCCCTACCTCTGTTAGGAGCTATGACGCCATCACTTCCAGTCTAGAACCTACCTGGAGCTCCTATCTCCCACCACAGGGAGAGAACAGTAAGGAGAAACCCAGAGACACCAGGAAGCATGGCTTTAGGGTAAAAGCCTGGGAATAAAGGCTGCCTTGGTTAAATTAAGACACTTTCACTTGCTCTTGATGAGCCTCTGGCCCTGGGTCATCTGCCTCATTAAGACCCCTAAGGCAGAGGAGGCCTTCACAGCCCTTACCAAGCTGGAAAAAGCAGCGTTCTGTGGAAACAGCAGTGAGCTCAGAGGTAGTTTCTGTCACCTGAACCCAGCATTACAAGGCGGCCCCTTCCCCTTTCCAGAACTCTGACCTGCAGGCACTGCCTATGTCGATCATCTTGATGACATCGTCGGCACAGCTGACCAGGCGCTCCTGCAGCCCCACCACCTGCACCTGCTGCTTGCCATCCTCCAGCACACGCAGCTTAGCCTTCTTGTTGAGCAGGTCAAACAGCTGTGCCAGGCAGGGAAGAAAGGCTAAGGCCATCAGGTGCTGGGCACCCCACCTAAGTCCTCCCTCTCTTCTACGGACTGTCCCAGCTTAGACAAGAGCTGGCAGCAGGGAACACAGACAAGAGCTAAACTGGATGGATGACAGAGTAGCAGAGGGCAGTACACTTGGGAGCTGAACCAGGCTACCTCAGCTTCATACAACTCCACTGCTCTACTAGCTATGGGAGCCTGGACAGGTATTTAACCACCCAGACTCATCTCTCATCTGTAGAATAGTGATGGTAATACTTCCTCATAGGTTGTAATGATTAAATGAGTTGAGATGAGTATAGAGCTTAGCACATAATACCGCATTATAATCAAATTAGCTATTATCTAGATCCCTCTCTAGGGAAGGCAACTCTGCAAAAGCACAGAGGGTATAGAGGAGAGAGAGAGAGAATACGAGTACGAGATGAATGGGAGTGAACAGGGGAAGAAAAAGTTATGAAGGAGCTGGTTTGAGGGAGGACAGGGACACAGCAAACCTTCACCTGAGAGGCCCGAGGAGTGTTCCTGCCATACTTGTTGAGGTTGGGTGCCATCCCACCCAGAGATAAAACCTCTCACAGGTCATGGCAGAGTGGCCCATCAGAGGATTGCCAGCCTACAGGTTGTTTGGCTTCTATGATATCTAGCCAACCTCAAGGTTTTGGAAAGTTCATGGGCCCCAAGAATATAAACAGGCACTCCCTGCCAGTTACCTTCCCATTATAGATCTCGAAGAATGTCACATAGACCTCCAGGCCTAGGTTCCGGTAGCGGGGCTGATTCTTCAGGAGGAAGACATCCCGGGCTGTGGGCAAGAACCTGGATTAGGTAAGCAACCTGTTTCTCTGTACCAAACCCCAGGGCGGCAGAACATGCTACTTACAGGCCATTGCATAGATCCCTTTGGTTGCATTCTGGGCTTTCCCAGAGAGGTCTCCACCCATAGTCTGCAAAGGGAAGGGACAGAAGACTGTGGTAAAGGGTCCTTGGCCTAAGCCAGAGCACGACAGCTCCATTGCCACAGTGGGCCCCACCAAAGCAGGGAGGCTGGACCTGCAAGGCCCTCCCCTGCATCTGGCACAGCAAGAATATCTGGTGATGGGGAATCTGTACTGAGGGGAATGTCACTGTCTTCCTTTTCAGGAACCCAGTGTTCTACCATGAACAGGCTTGCTCTCTGTCAGGCCTGAATACTCACATGTGTCTTGCCACTTCCTGTCTGGCCATATGCAAAACAGGTTGCTTTTCCGCCTTCAAAGATTGTCTGTACCAGTGGCCTTGCTGTGAACCTGGGGGAAAGGATAGGGAAGAGTGTCTGTCTCTTCCCAAAGTGTGGTCCCTGGAACATGGTCCTGCTGCCCTTCCATTGCAAAACTCCTGGGGTCAATTCCTCCTTCCAAGCACTGCTTTCCTGCAAAGTGTCCCATCTGAGCCCAGCCCCACCTACAATCTGAAATTCTCCTAGGTGACTGGGAGAGGCTGGACTGACTTGCCAAGAGCAAGCTGGGGGCCCTCACTCTGAGCCAACAGGTCCTTCTCTGGCTCTGGAGACACAGATGAAACCCTGAGCTCAGCAGCAAACTTCCAGCATAAGAAACACTACAAAGATCAGAAGAAATCTTCTAAAGTAGAGGCCTAAAATATTTTAGGATCTGTGGGCCACACAGGTGTCTCTCTCTCTCTGTGTATATATGTGTGTGTGTGTGTGTGTGTGTATATATATATATATATATATATATATATATTAATGACCCTCTAAAAACATAAAAGCCTTGGTGGGAATGTAAACTGGTACAGCCACTATGGAAAACAGTTATGGAGGTTTGTCAAAAAATTAAAAATAGAAATACCATACAATCCAGTAATTCTACTTCTGGGTATTTACCAGAGGAAAATGAAAACATTAATTCAAAAAGGTATATGCACCACTATGTTTATTGTAGCACTATTTACAATAGCCCAGATATGGAAACAGCCTAAGTGTCCAACAGTAGATGAATGGATAAGGAAGATACACATATAAATGAAATATTATGCAGCTATAAAAAAAAGAAGGAAATCTTACATTTACAACAACATGGACAGACCCATAGGATATCATGCTATGTGAAATACATCAGACAGAGAAAGACAAATGCCATATGATTTCACTTATGTGGAATTTATAAAACAAACAAAACAAATAAACATCAATGAAAAAAACTAGAAAGAGAGGGAGATGGGGGGGTGGGCAAAATAGTTCAAGGCGATAAAGGGATACAATTTTCTAGTTATGAAGTAAGTCATAGGGATGAAGAGTACAGCATAGGGAATATAGTCAATAATGTAATAACTTTGTATGGTGACAGATGGTAACTACACTTATCATGGTGAGCATTTTGTAATGTATATAAATGTCGAATCACTGTTATACATCTGAAACTATAATGTCAACTATACTTCGAAAAAACAAACAAAAAAATCCCAAAACATAAAAACCACTCTTAGTTTTAAAGTTCTGCAAAAAGGGATTGTGAGCCAAATTTGGCCTATGGGCTATAGTTTGTCAACCTCTGGTCTAGAGCAGTGCTGTCCCATAGAACTTTCTGTCATTATGGAAATGTTCTATGTGTGCTGTCCAAGAGTAACCATTGCCACACATTGCTGCTGAGCACTTGAAATGTGGTAGTGTGATTGAAGGGTTGAATTTTTAATTTTATTTAAACAGCCACATGAGGCTACTGGGGGCTCAATACAGAGTTTTGCTAAGTCTGCTAGACTTAGTTTGCTGACTCAGCTAAGCCCAGTGGGTAATGGAGTGGCTGCACAAAACAGTGGATGAGCCCCTGGAGCCTGCCCAGCTCTGTCTCAGAGAGGGCAATGGGTAATACCTAACTTCTGATCCACTCAAGGATGGGCCACTAAGGCTGCAAAGTGGGAAGTGGCAGGTCCAAACAGGGCCTTGCTGGTGCCAGGAGCAGAGCCAGAGCCAGCTCTGTGAAGGTTGATCCAAAGAGAACATGAATTGAGGCCAGGCAGGGCTTCAGAGTTCAGTACATCTATGAGTAGTGTTACTACAATGCCCCACATTGAAAGGAGGAAAGGCAGGAAGAGAGGGGGAAATAAAAAAGGTAAGGGACTAACCTATAGACGACTTCATTTGAAGCTGTTTCATCAAATGCAAAGTCAAAGCAGAATGCTTGGTTCTCCAGATACTTTGTTAAGTCCACTTTTAACTTGGGCTCATGTACGAAGAGGAGACACTTGCTGGGAATGGAAATCACATCAATTTCTTTCTTGGCCAATTCTGCAGAAGGAGAGTATTTCAGGGGATGCTCCCTGGACACAAAGGAACCCTGTCAGTCCAAAAACTCTTTCTGGCTGAATGGGGCTTACCTTGTTTATTCAGGGGGCGTTTCCTAACACAGACGCAAATCCTGTGCTCTTCAATCTTCAAGAGGATGAGAAAAGACCACCAACCAGCAAAGTCAGAGCAATATTGAAAGGACCCCTCCTTTTCTAATCCCATGTTTAGCCTAGTCAGGAACCAAGATCTGTCACTAGGACACCCACCTCTGCCATTAGTTATGCTGAAGCACAAGAAAGCAGCTCTGATTTTTTCTTCCCAGTTTTCTCACTCTTTTACCCACAGGTTGTTGGCCCCACTTTCATTATTATTAGTAAGAATCTAGCCAACCTACAGAAGCAAGGAGGGTGGGAGTGGGTGCAGAGGTAGAGGGAGGTTTACAAAGACCCTCCCACCCAGGCTTTTCTAGCTCAGCCCATCAAATGGCATTAAAAATACCCTCAAGGGTTAGTGAAGACTCCTGAATGCTCTCACTCCCTTAAAGTTTACTGTCTCTCAATTGTACACCTACTCAGGAAGGAGAGGTAGAAGCCCTTTGGGTTTACTCACAGGATCAGTCACAGTAAGTGGATGACATTCCAGAGTAGCCCGAAATTCTTTAATCATCCGGGCAAATTCCCAGTTTGGAAAGCTGTTGTCATATTCCTGTTTGGGACAAGCGTGAAAAAGGACGGACTGAACTGAAGTGCTCAGAGCGCAGCGCTAAGCAGCACCAACAGCTCCTTAACATGCACAAAGCCCTTCAGAACTGACAAACTCCCCACAAATCTCCCTTCCTCCCACCCTGGCTCTAGCTGAGAACCTAGGAACAAAGGGATTGGCAGGGAAGCCAATATATGCACCAAAACTCTCTAGGAACTTGGGCCAGGGCCACTGTCCCCTTCTTAGGAGACCAGCAGGTTGAGACTCCCTGGAACAATTAAGTCAACTTAAGGGAAATGCTCTGAACTGGAACTCCACTGCAGCACCCTCCCCACCCCACCCTATACACACAAGGAGGCCAAGGAAAAGCTGGCAACTGTGCCCAGGAGCCCCACTGGTCAATGAACCGTGTGCTGGGTGTACCCACTGGATCAGCAGGAAATACTCCTCATCTGAGGGCCTTCAGAAAAGTATCTCACTTCTCTGTTCTCTGAATCCTGATGAGAAACCATTTGAATGTCCTGGATATCAGAACTGGAGCCTCAGAAATGCTGGGGGCCAGCCATTTCTGTTGCCAGTCTGGCTGCAGTTAAGGATGCCTGCCCAAACACCCAAGGTACCTGAGCTCGCTTTATTCTCATTTCAGAGTTCTGCGCCCTCTTCTCTTCTCGCTTGCTCTTCATTTTTTCCATTTCCTTCACAATACATGATTTCCTTCGAACTAGAGGGGGACAAAAGAAGACCCACTCTTAACAGTCTAGGTTAGCCAGCCTCCGGTTCTCCAGCAGCTGTACTGCATCTTGGGCCTTCCCCAGGACTTGGCCTTTCCCAGACCCTTGCTCTTAAATCACCATATGCAGGGAGAGGAAGCGATATGACTCTTGGGATGGCCAGGCCCACAAAGTAAAGATGTGAGCACTCCAGGTCTAGCCCAAGCTCTCTCCATGCCTCTGTGGCATAACAACCAGAGGAGGTGAGACTGTTCCTGCTTGGTCCTGATGGTCATTCTGGGCTGGTCTTCAGGTGTCGGCCAAGACTTGAGCTGTGACAACACCTCAGCTACATCAGAGGGTTCCTGCCAGCTGGTGGGGACAAGGTCTCCTCTTGTGAAAGACCAATTCCATGGACACAGGGAAACATGCCCCCATGTGACAAACATGGTTTGAACTGAAGTGCCAAGGCAGGCCAGGTTTAAGACAGGCTGCAACTACCTGTCTTGTAGCAGGAGCAGGGCAGCAGACAGCTCAGCGTGCCTACCTGAGTTCACAGGGTTTGCAGAAGAGCTGCCTCGGACGGAATGAACTTGCTCTTCCACCTCCTCGCTGACCATCATCAATGGTATTTCAGCTGCTGCAGGGCAGGAGGGCTTAGAGGGGCCAGCTGTGGGGGAATAAGGGTCAATGGAGAAGCAGGCAGGCATACTGCAGCTTGCACTCATCTGAGCCCTGAGAGGAGGACCAAGAGGACCTTGGACCTTAGCAGTCCAAGAGGAGGATTTCTGGCTACCAGCTCAGCAAGGGCTCAGGCTCCTACAGTGTGAGCAGAGATTGGGCTTTTCCCTTCACCTCAGCCCACACCCTAAACCTGACCAGTCTCACTACTGGGGCTGGCTCCTGGGGTCAAATCTTAAATGGTGTACTAGTAGCTCAGTATGGGCTTTGTCATAAAGAAAGGCCTTTAAAGGCCTGAACTCTTCAGGCTTACCCAAGCACGGGTTCTCAGGCTGGGCCAGCCCTTCCTACTCATTTGGGAGAAAAGTCAAGCCTATCTGACTTCTCCAAAGCCTTGAAACCCAGGTGGTTAATGGGAGTAAAGACAGAAAAGCAAGGACTAATGGGAACCGGAGCAACAACTAACTATACTGATTTAACCCCTGACAATGCATCACTTCCCATTCCTGGTTGTAACACTTTTGTTTACCTTCATTTTATTAGAGCGGAATTTGAAACATGTAAGATGTAACAATTGTGTATGTTACAAAATCTGCACCCACTTTATATATTTAATAAAAGTTGACAACTAAAAAATATTTCTTCATTCCATTTGTATGAAGTCCAAAAAGAGAAAAAGCTAATTTATGCTATCAGAAGTCAGGATTATAGGTATCCTTAGAGGGTTAGGAACTGGAAGGGGGCCTGAGGGAGACTTTTGGGGTGCTGGTAATGCTGTGTTTGATCTGAGTGCTAGTTACATAAGTGTGTTCAGTTTGTGAATGATATATTCAATGATAATTTTCCTGTATATATATTGTGTTTCAATAAAGTTCAAAAAAGTAAAGCGAGATATTTGCAGATAAGGGAGCAGTGCAGCAGAGGCAGAATAGTCCTGAAGCCAGGGAGTGTAGGAATTCTAGGATATTCCAGAAGAGGGACAAGGCAGTGTGTGAGGCCTCAAAAGGAGAACATTACTCACAGGACACTGAAAACTGCTTGCGGGAATTTGCAGATGCAGGCAGCTCCATCTCCATGCCATTCTCCTGAGAGGTGTTGCGAATCTCTGGGATGGTGGACATGCGAGTGGAACGCCCTCGGAGACCTGAAGAACCAAGGGCAGTAGCCAGTCAGTGCAGCATGATCAGGGGGGCTGATGGGAGCAACCCTCCAAGATACTGTACACAGTGAAATGGCTCCTGACCACTAGGAAAGGAAACAACCAGTTCCCCATTCCTTCCACCCATGGAAAGGAAAAATTAGAAAGGCCAAGTACCAGTGACCCCAAACTAACTTGTTCACATTCTGCAAATCTGAGAGCTACTGAAGGCAAGGACATCTCCCACAAGAGCGTCTGTCTTGAGTATGAGGGGACCTACAGCCCATCTGAAATTATTTCTGAAGAGATAGACCTAATCCTTGAAAAAAGCATTATTAACCTTAGCAGCAGCAGTATCTACCATTGTACAATCTTCCCATACTTCAAAACAACATTAAAAGGTGAATATTAGTACTCCCATCTGATGAAAGGGAACATTAAAGCTCAGAAAAATTAAGCAATTTGCCCAGTGTCACTCAAATAGTAAGTGTCAGAGCCAGGCAGTGTACCCAGGACCGTCATATTCCAAAGTCTGGGGTTTTTCCACTGCTTCAGGAAGCTTTACAGAGCCAGGCCTGGGCCACATCATCAGAAACACATAGAATCAGCTACACTGATTTTCTGGAATTTTAAAAGAATGCTTAACTGAGAGAAACAATTGAGTTATACTTAAATACTTGTCAATTTTCTACCCTTCATTAAGAGAGAAATAATTCCTCACCTATAAAAGAAGTCATAAATTTGGAATAGAAAACATGCTGTCATATAGGCAAACATTAACTTGTAATGAATTTCTGAGTCTCCTAAGTTTAGGCTGATCTGATGGCTCTATATAATCCATGTCTTTCATAAAGAGCATGAATTATTATATTTTTGCTGTTTCACAAAAGATTTCATTTCTACTATCGAATAGCATGCAGCTTTATTATTATTGTTTTTTCATTAAAAATAGCTGTGGTTATATCCTTTGAGGACATACATGTGGAGTGAGACCACTGTCAATTCCATCTCTCCTATAGGCCCTTACGGTACAGCCACACCACTCAGGCCCAGCCCGTGCTTGCAATTGCACCACCTTCCGCCTGGGTCTCCAAAGCCTGAAGCTGCAACCAAGTCAGTCTCTGGGCCCTGACGTAGCTGGATCATGTCAGAGCAATGATAATTCCTGGACTGGGATAGGCCATTCAGGCTGCAAGGTATAGCTCTGAGTAATAAGGATCTCTTGGGTAGTTTGTGCCTACATCCACCCCTTATAGTCACAGACTATTGCAGTCGGAAGTAGGTTTACCCGCTGACTACTTCTGCAGAGAAAGGCAACCTTCTCCTAGACTTGAGGCATTGCTAATATTTTTCCCATCCTGCTCTACCCCGAGAGCCCAATAGCACCACCAACTATACTTCTAAACAGCCAGATCTAGCTTTCCTCCCAGAGTGCTCACCACCTCACTCCAAGGCACACTATTCCCTTGAGGAAAGAAAACAAGCTCTGGATTCTATGGGAAAGACTTGTAGACCAGTTAGCAAATCTCCCAAGTCCCTGAGAGGTTGGTCTAAGAGCTGTAGGTTGGATTCTTTTTTTTAAAACTGTTTTATTGAGGTATGATTGACATACAAAAAATGATAGCTATTTAATGTATACAGCTTGATGTGTTTGGAGATATGTATCTACTCATGAAACCATCACCACAGTCAATGCCATACACTTACCCATGGTCTAAAAGTTTCCTTCTGCTCCCTTTGTTTTATATTTTCTTTACGGTACAGCCACACCACTCAGGCCCAGCCCGTGCTTGCAATTGCACCACCTTCCGCCTGGGTCTCCAAAGCCTGAAGCTGCAACCAAGTCAGTCTCTGGGCCCTGACGTAGCTGGATCATGTCAGAGCAATGATAATTCCTGGACTGGGATAGGCCATTCAGGCTGCAAGGTATAGCTCTGAGTAATAAGGATCTCTTGGGTAGTTTGTGCCTACATCCACCCCTTATAGTCACAGACTATTGCAGTCGGAAGTAGGTTTACCCGCTGACTACTTCTGCAGAGAAAGGCAACCTTCTCCTAGACTTGAGGCATTGCTAATATTTTTCCCATCCTGCTCTACCCCGAGAGCTCAATAGCACCACCAACTATACTTCTAAACAGCCAGATCTAGCTTTCCTCCCAGAGTGCTCACCACCTCACTCCAAGGCACACTATTCCCTTGAGGAAAGAAAACAAGCTCTGGATTCTATGGGAAAGACTTGTAGACCAGTTAGCAAATCTCCCAAGTCCCTGAGAGGTTGGTCTAAGAGCTGTAGGTTGGATTCTTTTTTTTAAAACTGTTTTATTGAGGTATGATTGACATACAAAAAATGATAGCTATTTAATGTATACAGCTTGATGTGTTTGGAGATATGTATCTACTCATGAAACCATCACCACAGTCAATGCCATACACTTACCCATGGTCTAAAAGTTTCCTTCTGCTCCCTTTGTTTTATATTTTCTTTTTACTTTTATTTTGTTGTAAGAGCACTTAATATAAGATCTACTCTCATGGTAAATCTTCAAGTATAAAATACAGTATTGTTAATCATAGGTCTTATGTTATGCATTAGATCTCCAGAACTTATTTATCTTGCATAATTGATACTTTGTACCCTCTGAACAATACCTCCCCATTTCCCTCTCCCTGTAGGTTGGATTCTTTCTTACTGAGAAAGATACTTGGAAGACAGGGCAGGACTTAGCTCACATGGAAGCCACCTGCTAAACTGGAGCAGTGTGTCTGTTTCACTCATCTGAGCCCCAGGAATATCATTCCTGGCATAAATCCCATGACAATAAACCAATAGAAATACATTTACCTTCCTTTGGAGCAGGAATTTTGGAGTTGACTGATCTGCGTTTTTGTTTCTGAAAAACAAATATATAACAAACCACAATGTAGTGGATCCTAGTAATTCTCAAAGGCCTATCCTGGGCCCATTGCTGTGCTGAGTCCTAGGCGGTCCCAGAAAACCAAAGAGCCACCAAGCCAAATGACTCACCTGGGGCACTGGCTGTAGCCAAATGACAGGCACCTACCTGCATGGTTACATTCTCCTGTAGGGGCAGATTGTCCTTCGGGTGTAAGGAAAGAAGTTGTAAGAGTTCTGGGTTTATTGAGGCCACATCATCAAAATCAATCTGCAAAGATCAAATAAAAGTTTCAGTGGAACATCATAGCTTCTTTAATCCAATTGCATCTCTGCAACAACCAAAGCTACTCCTAGATTCAGAACTTTACTAACTTTAAGCTCCACCAAGTACTAATAGGTATAAACAAATATTTGTTCCTTAGTCATGTTTTACCATCTAGATGAATATTGGTTTCTGATTTCTAAGTCAGTGGTAGATGTCAGTGATGAGAACTAGGTGAAGAGGAAGGCACATGCCGACAGTCAGGTGGTCTACAATAGATCTAGGCCACTTGGTTCTCCTAATATTCTGCTGGGCAGTGGAGTCCTGCTGGACACAGCCACCCAAGCACCTCTTGAGGGCTGACACGAAGGAGGAAACAAGTTCGAACTGTCCCAGTGATAGTCAAAATAGAGGGCCCTTCAGGATCTTATGGGCAAGGGATAAGTTCCCTAGAGCTGCTACCTAGCCCTATGTCTACCTACATTTTCTACTGGGTCCAGAAACTGGAGGTTCCTGCTCATGCCTTCAATGAGGTCACAATTCTAGGTCTACATCACCAGAGTCCTGCAATCCTTGAGGAACAACTCAACCTTCACCAGAAACTTCATAGCAGTTCAAACACACCAAAATAGTACCAACTGGTTATCTGTATCTCCAAATACAACAGAGCTAAAGCATGTGCTCCAGGTGAGAGCTTTACCTCCTATGTATACAACTTATATTTACTAACTGGCTTATTCAAACATTTATTAGGCATAAGTCAGACAGTAGGGGAAAGGTATTCAAAGATGAATTAAGACTTCCATTGCCCTTGCCTTCACCTTCAGTGAGCTCACATTCTAATGGAGGAGGGAAGTCATATGCACAAAGGGCTAGAAACTAATGTGGCATGGGATAGGCAAGGCTAGAATCGTCAAATACAAAAGCTGGCAAGTACTTCAGTAAACAAACTTTTGTCTGTTTCTTGGACCACTACAGACCCTTACTACCCACACCTCCCCCATTTTCAGTCCCTAAATTACAGGGAACATTCACAAAGGCTGTACTGTAAACAACAGCAAACCATAAAACAGATGATAAGGAACTAATAGCTGGAATTTTAGGAACCTCGTAATTTAAGGGCAGATAATGTAAAATATTCAATCCTTTCATTTCTCAAATATACCACTTAAATATCTGTATGCCTACCCTAAGGCACACATGCTATACTAGGCAAGCCCTTCACATGTTCTCTCATTAAGCTCCAGAAAGACAGTCCAGGTCCGTCTTATTCACCTCTATCCCCAGCACCAAACACACTGGTATTTTGGGACCAGTACAAAAAGATTTGTTGAGTAAATCCTTACAGCAACCCATGAGATAGATGTTATCATCCTCCTCATTTTATAGATGAGGAAACTGAATTCCAAACAGGGGTGGAAAAATGCCTGGGAATACAAACAGTAGTGGCAGAGCAAGACTAAGATCCGGGTTTTCATACTCCTCGCCTGAAGACCTTTTCACCACAAAACCCCTCTAAAACATACACGTCTTAGTCACATCTCTCTTCAGAATCCTTCCAAGGCCTCCAGAATAAACTCTGAAACATCCTAGTGCCAGAGATGAAGACCCTCTAGTCTCCTTTTCAGCCTTTCTCCTGCTGCCAAGCATTCCGAGCTTCCACTACCTGGACCTAGCTTCTTCATTAGTTTCCATGAGGGTAATCTCACTGTTTCTGCTAAGCCTTCCCACCCCCACCAACTCAAATTAAGCTCATCCACAGTGAGCTGCCACCTCTCAACTGCTCTAGCACTATTCATCTGTGCCATTCATTACAAGTTCCCTTCTGTCATTTGGTGTTGCAGAAATATACTTCTGTCTCAACCAGGTTATCAATTTTGCTGCCCAAACTGGTTGCATAGGTAGTGTGCACTCAGAAGCTAGCACAGGTGAGCAAGGTTATAGGATTCTGTGCAGTTTGCTTTCTACAAACACACCAGAAACTGTTGATTGCTTCAGTTTAGAACAGGCTTCACTTAAATAAAATCCCAATCCATCGAGAGAGAGAGAGAACCATGTTTAAGATCAGGGAGGACAAGACAGCATCAGAAATAAGGCTCTTACAAGTTCCATTTCTACATAGACCTTTTAGGTAGTTAGGTGTTAAATGTGGTAGAGGCATTCTCATAGAACCTACCTCTTTGCCTTTTGTGGCACCTCCTTCAGTCCATTCCACTGAAACACAGGATTTCTCCAAGTTCACAGTCCTTACACTGGCACTGTGAATTATGCCTATAGTATGAAAAGGCCAGAGTTACCCATCTTTTTCATTTTTAGGATTCCACAGAGACTCTCAGTGTGCAGCTGACCTGAAGGAAGGGACAACTGCCTTTCCTTTTTCTTTTAAACACCAGGAGATAATGAAGTTCCTGGCCCTTCATCCTTAGGACACCCCGCGGTGAGGGAGGCAGGGAACAGGTCTTAAAACCGAGCTGCAGAGGATTCACCTCCACTCAAAAGAGAGCCTACAGTGGGTTGAAGGTATGTTTGGGCAGGGAAGTCACTCTAGTACTTAGGAACTATTCCCCAACACAGCACTGAGGCTCTAGCGCCCTGGGGTCCCCCTGCTTCATCCCTGACGGTGATGTCTGACCATTTTCTTAGTGACATGTGTATTAGACCTACCATTGACGCGGTAGCTGCTTAACCGAATAAGAGAGGACAGAATTGCAAGCTCCTGAAGAGCAGAGATTCTGTCTCCTTACTCTGAATCCCAGGGGCCTGACATACTGCGAGTGAGAAATATTTATTTAGAGGAGAGTAAAGGGACCAGGAAGCCGAGGTCCCTCAAGCACAGGGCAGTTTCAGGGAAAACTTTGGACGGAAAGTGAATAATAGCAACCTTAACTTCCCTGGGAGGTCCACTGATGTGCTGGAGCCCCGCCCACTCCGAGGACGGGAAAGGGGACCACCGCCGGTGCAGAGGTCCCTGCTCTGGGTGGGAAAGACCGACTGCCAGGGCAGAAGCCAGGACCAGGAGGAGGTGGTGAAACCCCCAACAGTGTCTCAGGCCTTGCCGTTAGGGGAGGAGAAGTTATTTAAGTCGTCTCACAGCCCATGAGTTCCCTTTTTCCTCAGGACCCTACCCCTCACCATTACTGCGTTGGATCTTGATGGCGAGACCGGGAAATAGGCGGGCCTGAAGCGACGAGTCCATGGGCAGTCAGCAGATGCGCCAGGAAAAGAAACGCTAAATGCCAAGTGGCCACAATTATGGTAACCCTACGAAGTCTTAACGCTGTGCAAACCGCCGCAATTTAAATCCCGCGCGCCGGCGTCCCTGAAATGTCATCACGCTGTTCCCGTCCTCGCTTCCGCTAGTTTGCAGAGCCTTTTGGGATACGTAGTCTCTGGGCGGCCTTCCGGGGCCTGGGGCCGCCCTCTCTCTTGGTCACACCCCTGAGTCCTGGGTTGCTGGGAGCTTCGGCGGCCGGCGGGACGTAAGGCTCTCGGTTCTCGGTGTAGCAGCTGAGTCCCATTGTTCTGCTGGGTTTCAAAAACGGAGAAACTTCAGTGTGGTGTTTGAGAGTGAAGCTCTGGGGTCCTCCAGACATCGGTTCCAATCGTCACTTCAGTTAACTTCAGTCTTTGGACAAGTTAGAAGACTTCAAAGACTTTGGACTCCTTTAGATAAAGTGGCCAGGAACAAGTCTTTAAAGTGATACTGAAACCATGTCACAATGGGAGGCAGAAAGGTGGAGAGCCTTCCAGACTAAGATCTGAGGGTGCTCTGTGCAAAGGCCCTGAGGCAGGGGAGAACTTGGTCTTGTTTGAAAAAGCTAAGAAACGAGTGTAGCTGGAAGGTAATAGGTGAGGGGGAGAGGGTTAAGATCATGTAGCATCTTGTAGCCCATGGTAACAATTTTGACTTTTATTCTAATGGTAAGTCATTGAAGAATTTTAAGCAAAGGAGTGACAAGATCTGAGATACATTTGACTTTACGTCTGTCAGTCTTGCTGATGTGTGGAGAACTGATTTGAAGGGGGCCAGACTGGAAGTGAGGAGACCATTTAGTAGGCAAGAGATTATGCTGACGCAGGCTGGGGTAGTGACAGTGAATATGTACCTAAGAGAATGGTTTAAAGGTGTACCATATCTGGGAAGGGAAGTGAATGGGTCTTGCAGGAGAGTTGAACGTTGGGGTTAAGGAGAAGGGATAATCATGGATGATTCCTGATTTCTTGATAGAGCAACTGAGTCAATGATGGGCCATTTCCTGAAACTGGAGTGGAGTTGTAAAGGAAATAGGTATGGGCGGGGTGGAGTGGGGCATAAGTCAAGGGTTTCATTTGGTTATGTCGAATCTGAGATATCTACAAGACTTCAGAGGGGAGGTATCAAGTGAGCAGTTGGATATACAATTAGCTCAGGGTGAGATCAAGCCCAGAGGTAGAGATTTGGTGTCTTTTTATGTATATGTATTTAGACTCATGGAACTGAATTATATCTAGGGAGAGATGGAGATGAGAAGAACATCTGTAACTGAGCCTTGGGACATGCTAACAGTTTTGAGGTACGGCAGAGGAGGAAGAACAAAAGAGATGAGTTTAGGGTGGTTTGAAGGGATGAGGAAAGCCAGGGAGTGAAGACTAAGAAAGATTAGAGAAGGATTAACTGTAAATTGAGAACATAGAAGTGCTCTGATTTTGCTAGCCCCTAAGTCATTAATGACCTTATGCAGTCTTGGCATAGTATTGAGGATGAGAGCCAGACTAGAGAGAAGTGAAATATTGTTTAGGGACACAAACTATGTAATAAAAGGATAAATGTATGCTTGGGAGTGATAAACACTAAGATTCAGGAGAGCACTTGCCTCTGGCAGAGGGTAATGAGATTGTAGAGAAGTGGTACCTCAACAAATAGGTTTTATGTTTTTACATGAATCCTGGGTGTACATGAATGTTGACTATGTTCTTTTCTGTATCTCCTGTGGAGAGAATGTGATGTAAATTCAGACCCATTCACACCTTTTTGGTTTTTTCCATCTGTGGGTCCAGGTAATTGCGAACTTCATTGCTGCTTCCCGAGACCAATGTGAAACCCTTGTGGTGCATAGGTTTTTGTAGGGGGGTTACCAGTTTTTCAACCTTGGGCAGATCCAATTAATTTTTCTTGACTCTGCATGGGTGATAAAACTCCAGCCCTCCTGACTTTTTTCTTATTCCAGTACCCTCCTGTTAGAGGAACTGGTTAGACCAGTGGACCTTAAACTCTACCTCTCCACCTCCTTCTTCATATCCTAGGACCTGAGCATTAGTTTTCCCCTGCCATGTCTGCTGACACCCTCAAAGTAATAAAAACTCAAAGGGGAACATTTATAGTAAAAGAAAAACAACAAACTGAGAAACTAATACTAGATGAAGCAGACTTAATCCACCTGATCCAGTTTAAGATAAGCATAATAAATATCCTCAAAAGATAAAGGGGGATATTGTTAACACAAGTTAAGAATAGACAAAAAGGAACAATTGGAAATACTGGGTATGAAATTTTTAATAGCTTAAATCCATACATGGATTGAATAGCAGAATACTTACAGCCAAAAGGAAACAATAAGATCAGGGTGAGGATTCATCTAAAAGGCATTAGGAAGGGATAAAGAAAACAAGAAAGACTGAAAACAAATGAGCCAGTTGTTTGTGACACACATACGATTGTTGGCTAATCCAGGTTATCCCCAGCCCCCTTCCTTATTCATCTCTGCATTAGAAAAAGCTAAATACTTGCTTTCCCAGATTCCCATGTAATTAGAACTAGTCATGTGACCATAGTTCTGGCCAGTGGGATATAAGCTGGAGTGTTTGGGGGCTTCTGGGCAGTATATTTTGTTATCTAATAGAAGGAAATGACATGGAGGATGCTTTTGCTTGTAATATTTCATCCCCCTTTTTCTGGCCTTGGACATGGATATTCTGTCTGGAGTTGTGTCAGCTGCCTTGTGATCATGAGGTAGGATGACAGTCATCAGATAAAAAATCTGACACACTCAGGACAGCTAAGTCCAAAAGCAGGACAAGCTCACAAGGTTTCTTGACGGCTAAGTGTTTGAACCAAAGCCAGCAACCACCCACATCAAGATTCCTTGTTGTTGTGTAAACACAAAACAAAACAAAGCACAACAAAAACACACCTATTTAAGCCACCTTTATTCATATTTTCTTTAACCTGTAGCTGAAAACATTCCTAACTGATGTTTTATTCAAGAATTTGGGAAAGGGCTAGTTAAGATTCAGAGAAGGAAAAATGGCAGAAATCTGAAAAAGAGGTATAAGAAAGAATTTTAAAAGGCTAGTTGAGTCTTAACCTAGACAAACCTGGTGAGAGTGACAAAAAAGAAAAATATGCAAATAAACAAATACAGAATAAGAGAATAAGTATAGTCACACAGAATAAAAATATTTATAGAAATCCATGAACAAGCAGTACAACACAAAGAAGACAAGTAGTGATTCTACAGCATCTTACTACACTGATGGACAGTGACTGTAATGGGGTATGTGGGAGGGACTTGATAATGGGGGGAGTCTAGTAACCATAATGTTGCTCATGTAATTGTACATTAATGATACCAAAAAAAATCCATGAACAACTTTATGTCAGTAAACTTAAAAACAAACAAAATGGATAAAGTTCTAGGAAAAAATGTAAAATGTTAAAACTGGCACAAGAGAAGAAAAAATAGTAAACTTAAACAGACCAATAACCAATAAAGAAATTGAAAAATAATATGTACATCCTGGGGCAAAATACCTCTAAAAACAGAAATCAGTCAAAGGGAGAAATAAAGTTTAAAACTTGTTTATTGCTTACAAACTGCAGTCCAAGGCCATCTCTCCTCGGCTCTGGAAGAAGCAAGCAAGCAACCCAGCCAGCTCCTCCCTTTAAACTCTCAGGTTCAGATATGCCCTTGGTTGCTCAGGTAATTACCCACTGACACAGAGATGAACTTCTTTCCACCCCTGAGGATATGCAAATACACTAAAGCCAGGCGAGATATTCTGGAAAAGTTAAATTTTACCCACAGATAATAAAAAGTTTTCCATCCCCAAAGCTCCAAGTTGAAATGGTTATAGATAACTTCCACTGAACTTTACAGGAGTAGTTAGCCCCTCTATCATATGTCAGTAGTTTCAGGCATTGGGAAAAAAATGAAATTGGATCTATGCTTGACACTACACACTGGAATAAGCCTCAAACAGAACTAGCATTCTAAATGTAAAAAAATGAAACCACATGAAGTAGTAGCAAGAAACGTGAGTGAATTTTTAAAAATAGTACGTATATGAAGGCCTTTTGAACAATGACTCAAAATCCAAATGAAAGACAAATAAATCTGACCCTATTAAAAAAACACTTTTGCTTGGCAAAAATTAAAAGCTGGGAGAAAATATTAGCAATTTATGTGGCAGATAAAGGACTAATCTCCTTAATACATGAAAGGCTTTTTAAAATTCAGGAAAACTTTTCCTTTCTGTGATGCATGGCTTAAAATGGCGCTTCAGCTTTCCAAGAAAAATTGAGGGGGTAGAGAAAGAGCAAAAACCCAAGATAAAAATGGACAGAAGACATAAACTGAGAATAAATGTTGAATCACTGTACTGTACATTTGAAACCAGTATAATTGTATATGTAACTCCAGGGGGAAAATCCCAGGGCAAAATACCTCTAAAACCGAAATCAGTCAAAGGGAGAAATAAAGTTAAGAAACCCTTTTATTTCTTACAAGGAGTCATTCCCATCTCTCTCCTGACCAGGCTGCAGTAGAAGAGAGCTCCACCCAACCTCTCCTCCTCCGGTTCAGATAAACCCTTGCACACCCTTGTAATTATCTATTGATATATAGATGACTATTTTTCTCCCCCCCTTGAAGCACCTATTGATATGCAGATGAACTAAAGCCAGGCAAGAGATTCTGGAAATATTGCAATTTTACCCATAGTATATCAACTGTCTTCAGTTAAAAAAAAGAAAGAAAGTAGACACACAAAATAGATAACACAAATGACCCTTAAACATAAGAAAAAATATTCAACTTCCCTTATAAAAAAGAGAAATATAAATTTAAGCTACACTGAGATACCACTTTTCACCATTTAGATGGGTAGAAATTTAACAACTTGACAACATCCTGTTAGCAAAGCTGTGGGAAAACAGCCACCCTCCTATATTGTCAGAGGGAGTACATACATTGTGTTAGACCGGTGGAATTTGGCAATATTTAATAAAACAACATGCATTTACCCAATAATTCACTTCGGGGAGTTTACCCTA